GTTCGCTTGTTGAAACATTTCAGTTGGTATCCTGTCAATGCCTGGAGCCTTGTTAATGCCTCCATGGACTTGTTTTAATTTTCTTCAGCTTCAGCATGAATTTGCATACAAGTAATTGATGATGTGTTCTACAGTCGATGAAGATACTAAACTTCTCCATCACCTCTTCTCACAAGTGTAGTCCATTTGATTCCTGAGTAGTCCATCTGGTGAGGTCCACATGTACAGTCACTATTTATGTTGTTGAAGAAAGGTATTTGCAATGAATTAAGTCGTTGGTCTTGCAAAATTCTATCATGTGATCTCCAGCATCATTTCTATGGGAGGGTAAAAGGATGTATTGGTCTATGGAAGGGAGGGAGGGATTAAGAACAGCTGCCAGGTTGGAGATTTGGCAGGGCTCTAGCCACTAGCCATGATACCTGTCTCCTCCTCTGGTGATTTGTACCAGTGGTGAGTTGAGAGTATCCCCTGCTTTATGTGCAGAGCCGTGTAGGGGGCAGAATACTGGGCTGTGAATCTGTTTTCCAATGGGTAGCAGCTTGCTAGTGAGCAGTGAGACACTGCAGTCCTAGGCTTCTACTGCTCTCTGAACTTGCCTGCTGTAGCACCTTCACCTCTGATGAACCTGTTCTGTGTTCATCTACCTGGTTGGCTGTTTGCTCCTCGTGAATCAGGACTGCCTACTAGGTCAACAGTAAGTATTCAGAAAGGAATGGAGGAAAAGAACATGAGGGAAGGAGGGTAAGAAGGAAGAAGTAGACAGGCCTGGGTCTATTCCACAAGAGAAATTCCCTGGGTGGTGCAAACACTTAATGTACTCATTGGCAAACCCAAAGGTTGAAGGCTGGATTCTACCCAAAGGCACCTCAGAAGGAAAACCTGATGATTTACTTCTGATTGAACACTCTGTAGAGCACAGATCAACTCTGACACACATGGCATCACCATGATTTAGAAGTGACTCCATAGCAAGGAAGTTATTCCTCCTATAAGACAGCAACAGGGACATGAGAAAGGACAAGCACGGGCAAGGCCCAAGGTTGGGGCTGGGCTGATACACACCCAGTTACTTCCCCAGTCTACCCTAGTATTAACCAGTCATGTGGCCTTAGGTACATCTTTGTGTGCCTCAGTTTCTTTGTCTGTAAAACACGGGTAAACAAAACTTGCCCTACCTATCCTATCATCAGGATAAAAATAAGAGAAGAGTGTGAAAGTTTGCTGGAGAGGATGAAAACACTATTCAAATCAACATCTATTCTTGTCATGAACACTGTGAATAACAACTTTAAGAAGATTCCTCTTTGCTACTTGGTTAGCAGAGCAGCCAGAGGCAATGGGCTATTGGGGACACAGAAGCCACCAGGTGTGTGAAAGCAGAAGTTTCCCTACCCTGCCCTGAACTCCAATGGAGTCTGCCCTCCTGCTCAGTTGGGGATAGGGGGCCTGACTCCCTAGGAGGGAAAATGGAGTTGTAGAGTGTTGGGGCTCCCTAGACTTCCTATTCCCTCCCTTTTTTTAGAAACTGTTCAGCCTGCTGGAGAGGCAGGGCCCTCCCTGATGTGTACCCTACAATTAGAAACATGCCTGACCAACAGTTGCCCCAGGCTCTCACAGGGAAGCTAACCAGAAAGAGTAAGGGGGAGTAGGGACAGGGGTGTGTGTGTGTGTCTATTTTGGGCAGAGTTACAGCCCTCCATTCTCCCACTCCCCTCCCTGAAAGCCTCTTCTCACACACACACACACACAC